TCAGTAATCAAAACCTCTTAACAAACAGAAGTCCAGAACTAGGTGGCTTCATGGTTGACTTCTACTAAACATTTAAATTAGAATTAATGTCAATCCTTAAACTTTTCCAGAGAATAGAAAGGATGGAACAATCCAAACTGAATTTCCAGGTCAGCATTTCTCTGGTAGGTATCAAAGCCAAACAAGGACACAAGAAAAGAAAATGACAGGCAATATCCCCGAATGAATATAGATGTAGAAATCCTCAATAAAACATTAGCAAACCAAACGTAACAATACATTAAAAGGATAATACACCATGACCAAGTAAGCTTATTCCAGAGATGCTAGGATGGTTCAACAATTATCCACAAATCAATCAATGTAATACATCTCAGTAACAAAATGAAGGATTAAAATAAAATCATATGATCATCTCAACAGATGCAGAAAAACATTTGGCAAAACTCAACATCCATTTATGATAAAAACTCTCAACAAAGTGGATATAGAGGTAATGCACCTCAATATAATAAAAACCATATATGACAAGTCCACAGCTAAGATCATATTCAATGGTGAAAAGCTGAAACTTACCCTCTAAGATCAGGAACAAAACAGGGATGCTCACTTTCACTTTTACTCAAAATAGTATTGGAAGTCCTAGCCAGAACAACAGATACATGAAAAGAAATAAAAGGCATCCAGATAATAAAGGAAGAAGTAAAACTGTCACTATTTGCAGAAGTAAAATGGTCAGAAGAAATAAAACTGTCACAATTTGCAGAAGACATGATAGTATATATAGAAAACCCTAAAGACTTCACCAAAAAAACAATTAAGAGCTAATATATGAATTCAGTAAAGTTGCAAGATACAAAAACCAATATACAAAATCTATTGCATTTCTAAATACTAATAATGCAATGTGAGAAAGGGAAATTAAGAAAATAATCCCATATACATCAAAAAGAATAAAATACCTAGGAATAAATTTAACCAAGGAAGAAAAAGACCTGTACACTGAAAACTGTATGCCACTGATGAAAGAAATAGAAGAAGATACAAATAAAGGGAAAGATATTCCATGTTCATGGATCCTAAAATTTGTATGGAAGCACAAAAGACCCTAGATAGCTAAAGCAATCTTGAGAAAGAACAAAGCTGGAGGTATCATGCTTCCAGAGTTTAAGCTACATTAAAAAGGTAAAGTAGTTAAAACAGAACAGTATTGGCATAAAAACGACACACAGGTCAATGGAATAGCACATGGAACCCAGACGTACATCCACGCTTATGTAGCCAATTAATTTATGACAAAGGAGTCAAGGATATACAATAGGGAAAGGACAGCCTCTTTAATAAACGGTGTTGGGAAAACTGGACAGCCACATGCAAAAGAGTGAAACTGGAGCACTATCTTATACTACACACAAAAATGGACTCAAAATGGATTAAAGTTTTGAATAGAAGACCTGAAATCTTTAAACTCCTAGAAGAAAACATAGGCAATAAGCTTCTTGATGTTGGTCTTGGTGATGATTTTTTATATTTAACATGAAAACCATGGGCAACAAAACTAAAAATAAGGCAGATTACATTAAACTAAAAAGCTTTTCTGCAGCAAAGGAAATAATCCACAAAATGAAAAGGCAACCTACCAGTTGTGAGAAAATATTTGCGAACTATATGTCTGACATGGATTTAATATGCAAAATATATAAAGAACTCATATAATTTTATAGCAACAAACCAAACAATTAAAATACGGGCTGTGGATCGGAACAGACATTTTTCCCAAAGAAGACACACAGATGGCCAACATGTGCATGAAAAGGTGCTCAACATAACAGATCATGAGGGAAATGCAATCAAAACTACAATGAGATATCACCTCACTCTTGTTCGAATGGCTATTATAAAAAAGACAAGAAATAAGAAGTTGGTAAGGATGTGGAGAAAAGGGAACCCTTGTGTACTTTTGGTTGAGAGTATAAATTGATGTGGCCACCATGGAAAACAGTACGCAGATCCCTAAGAAAAAAAAATACCAAATGATACAGCAAATCCACCCTGGGGTATCTATCTGAAGGAAATGAAAACACTAAATCAAAAAGATATCTACATCCCCATTTTCACTGAAGCATATTTACACTAGACAAGACATGGAAGCAACCCAAGTGTCCATCAACAGATGAATGGATAAAGAAAATGCCCATGCTAATGACATTACGCTAAGTGAAATAAGTGAGACAGAGAGACAAATACTGTATTCTCTCACTTAACACATGGAGTATACAAACAAAAACAAAAAAAACTGAACTTGTAGGTACAGAGAACAGATGAGTGGTTGCCAGAAGCAGGGAGTGGGGAGGTGAGTGAAATGTTGGGGATGAAGGGTATCAAAAGTCAAAAACATCCAGTTATGAAACAACAAAGTCCTGGGGATGTAATGTACAGCATGCTTATTAAAACTAGATGTTGTGGTGCTCACTTTGCCGTCTACACAAATATCAAATTATGTTGTACCCCTGAAACTAATATAGTGTTAGGTGTCAATTGTATCTCAAAAAAGAAAAGAAAAGAACAGACAGGAGAGCAAGTGCTGCTCCTTTTTAAAGGAAGCCAGATGAGCTGGAATAAAAAGTCAACTGAATTGCTAAGTCCTCAGAATAAGAGGTGAGGGGACAGACTCTAGACTCAAGGTGTAGAAGGAGAAATGTACTGGTGAAGAGTGTTGTGTACGCTGAATGGGAGCAGGATACAGGAAACAAAGGAGGCTGAAGAAACAGCATTAGGGATTGTGACGTTATGATTGGAAGGCAGATAAATCAAGTCAGCATTTAGGGTACCAATTATTATATTATTTATTCTATGAAGGAAAGTCCTAGTGGCTTAAAACAACATACATTAATTTCCCTTAGTTTCTGAGGGCCACGAATCTGGGTGCAGCTTAGCTGAGTCCTCTGGCTCCACGTCTGTCCCAGTGCTGCAGTCATCACAGGGCTGGACTTGGGAGGGTCTGCTTCCACACTTGCTCACATGCCTGTTAGGAGGACTCAGGTGCTAATGGGTTGTTGGACTGAGGGTTCAGTTCCTTGTTGGCTGTTGGCTGGACACCGTCCTCAGTTCCTTGCTCTACGGGCCTCTCCATGGTGCAGCCCACAGCATGGCAGCCAGTCTTCCTCAGAGCGAGCAAGGAGGAGAGCAGGAGGAAGTCAGGAACCAGAATCTCTTTTGGCGGCCCATCACTTTTCCATATTCTGTTTGTTAGAAGGAAGTCCCCAAGTCCAGCCCACACTCATGGAGGGAAGCACATGAGGGTGTGTAAACCAGGAGCTAGGATCACTCGCGCCATCTCAGAAACTGCCTACCATATGGGCCATAATCTGTAGCTGACTTTGTCCAGAGCAGAAACGTTTGACAGGTAAATGTTTGTATTTCATTACTCAGGGGGTCTGTGCCTGTTTCTTACCTCACTTGCTCACCTTGAGTGTTATGCTAAAAAAAATAGGAAAGGTCTTTAGACATTGAAAAGGTGACCTAGGAGAAGGGTGTGATGAAGGAGGTAACAGATTGGAAAATAAAAACCAAGGATCAAGAGAAAAATGAGAACCTATTATATGAGGAAAGGTGTGTGTGCGTAAATTAGAATTTCTACTTAAGCACTAAAATATTCTAAAAAGACTCAAGAGATAGGACGAGACAAATGGAATTTACATATTATTTTTATAAATTTTAAGTTCTGCTTAAAGAAAACATAGAGTTCCAAGACATCTGACTGACCCTGCCCACCAAAAAATATTTGCAGAGTGGATAAAGTAATAACTAACACCTGAATGTACCATTGTAAGAAACTCCTAGAGACAATCGCTTAAGACTCTTTTACATTTAAAATGAGCAAACTGTATATCCAAGGACTTTATTTCCTTAAAAGGAGGAGTCGAAAAGAGGAACAGAAATCACAATGTTGGGGAAAATACTTCGATGATATCTCCCCTAATCTAGGCAGGCTCCTGCCCCTTTCCCATCACTTACTGCCTGGCACACCATGCTGCCCCGCACTGGCCTCTCCATCAGCCAGCAACACACCACCTCGCCACACCTCATTTCATTCATCAGTGTGCTCAGATGTCACCTTCCCAGAAAGAACACCCCTGACTGCTCTCTAAAATAGCACTGACCCGTTCCATCATTTTACCTTCTATTTTTCTTTACAGCAGTTACAAGTTACCAAAATTATATTATGCCTTTATTTCCTTACTTCTTGACTCCTTCACTGAGATAAAAGCTCTTACGAGTTCAAGGCCTTTAGCTCACTGCTCCAGGACCTGGAAAAGCAAGCATTGGCTGTGGGTAGAGTATGTTGAGTAACAGAAGAAAACAGAATCAGTGAAGCCCATAAAAAACATGTCAACATGAGAGCGTTAACAGAGAGGGCCAAAAATGTGAAGACCGAGCAATGTCAATTTGTTAGAATTGTGCTAATGCCAATTCATGCACAATGGGGACTGTTTACATTTGTAATATGTAATTCATTTTTTAAAAATCCCAAAAGACCCAAATGAGCTAATGTACTTGAAAATATTTAAGGCAGCATATAAACCCGCCCGCACAGCAACTCTCCTCCTCCTGGTTTGCACCCTAGTTTCTGTGGCGTCTCAGCAAGGCGACGGAGTTTACCCTCCCCCTTTAATAAAAGTGTATTCTTGTCCCTATCTGATTGGCTGTCTCTCCCAGGTCCCCTTTATCACTAGCAGAGCCCCCAGTCCCTCACGCCTGATCGCAAGCACGCCATTGGTCCGCTGCCTCAGAGATCCGCAGCTGGGCGGGACACGTCCCCCGCTGACGTCAAGGGCGCTCCCCGCCCACATTCCAAAACCTGGCGGGGGGAGTGGGCGGGTTGCCGCTGCTCTTGCCTCTGGGGACGGGACAGAGCGGAGAGCAGACTTCTGATTGGGTAGAACGGGCGATGTGCGTATCCGATTGGTCAATGCCCTGGACGGAGGTGGAGTTGTAGCTGCGTCCTGGAGCAGAGCGGAGGAGCTCTGGGGAGTCTCAAAAGTTTGTGTCTGAAGCTGTAGTGGCAAATTGGCTTATTGCGAAAGGATTTTCTTGAGATGAGAGCAGACCTGTCTTTATTTCGGATGCACATCCTTCTGTAACCCCTTCACCCTTCGGCCGGATCCCTGGACAACCTGTCTCCCCCGGAGATTCCCAGATCTCCGAGGTCGCCGGACGCGAGCAGTTGGCAGCTCTCTCAGGCAGAGAGCAGCGGACGTTTTCCTTTCCAAGTGTATAAGCTACACACACACGCACACCCGCCGAACCAGATCTCGTCTCCGAGGCGGCCGTGCCCCCTACCCTCCCGCCCTCAGCATCCTCGGCCCAGCGCGCCTCAGACCGCCATGGAGGTGCTGGAGAGCGGGGAACAGAGCGTCCTGCAGTGGGACCGCAAGCTGAGCGAGCTGTCAGAGCCCGGGGACACCGAGGCTCTCCTGTATCACACGGTGAGGACTCGGTGGGGCGGGCAAGGGGCGCCTGGAAAGGGGGAAGCGCTGTCTTCCAAGGAACAGCTTGGGACACGGAACTGGGAAGGGGAAGTGTTTGGGAAGAAGAATGCCTAGAATGAAGAGATTTGGAGAGAGGTGTGAGTTTTTTATCTGAACATGTAGGGCTGGGCAGATGGCCCTTTTAAACTTTTCATAAGAGTAATGACACTTTGCATTCCTATAGCAACCTGCACTATTTTCCCCCGAGGCCTTTTCACATCTGTAATACCCTTTCCTATTGCTATGAGTACTGTAAAGCGGGACAGGGAGTAGGTGTTTGGAGAATAATATGCTTCTATTTAGTTTGCTAATTTTTGTGGGAAGGTTTTTTAAAAAAGAAACAAAATAATGTAGGATTTTCTGGCCTTCGCTGTCATATTCTCTCTTTCTCCCTTTACTTTCTTATTTATATTTCAAGATAAATATATGCAACCTGCGTGTGCGTGTGTGTATGTGTTGGAAAGGTCCCTTCACATTAGAAGGAAGACTACTTTATTTGGCTTCTTTAACTGTCCAGCCAGGAAATTTGCTTCCTCCCTCTTCAGAGGAAAGATCAGCAGAAGAGTATGGAAAATCTGAGGCCGCTGCATATTTCCGAAAGGCTTTGGCCAAGGTGGGACAGCTCACTAGTTCCTTGTTCGGTCTTATCCTCAGAGACCTGTTTGGGGCTTAAGTCATCACAGAGGATACACATCTTTTAAAGTTTTCAATTTAAGTCTTTTAATATTAAATTTGCAAAATGTAAGTTTGTTTCCAACAGCCAGCACTGATAATATAACTTAATGTGAGGTCTCTTTGTTTCTTTTTTATAAATGCAGAAGTTTGTAATTAGGGAGGGAGAGACCACTAAAGAGAAAAGGAGAGGCTAGACTGTTTCCACTTCACGATTCTTTTAATGGGGTCTGTACCAGCATATTTGAAACTTTTGCAAAATGGCCCGCAGGCTCCACCTCTTTGGCCTTTGCCTGTGGCTGACGTTATTTTATTTTGGGTAAAGGGATGAGGGCCCCCCTGTGTTTCCCACCAAAGTGTTTGCGGTGGCTGAGAATGGCTTGTTTAAAAAAAAATACAGAGTGCAGGAATGAGAGGGAGTGGTAGTTCATGCTGGGGCAAATGCCAGATGAGTTTTGCGATCTGCCAGGATTTGCAAACCGAGCCTGCTCCCCAGGAGACCGTGTGGGCTGCATTTGGACTGGGGACCAGATGTGTTTCCTGCTGTCTGTACAGAACATAGAGTGTGCTGGCCCTCAGTTATCTTCTGATAATTGGTGCTCCCGATGTGTCTACTGATGCGGGTTGCATTGAACCATTTGAGAGGGGCAGCTTTTCTCTTTTGTTCCTAACCATGCTGTAAAAATGTCACCCAGCAGCTGTACGCCACAGCTTTGGGGTTGTCTTTAAGCTGGGGGGATGACTTATGCAAGGGGTCTACATTCCCATTCTTTGTCCTTGTGACTTGCATTTGCCTGAGATCACGGGCCAGGGTTTCAGATGCTATTACCTGTGACTCTGACATCAACTCCAGGCAGAACACCTTGGATTGGCTCTAGTTAACATCTTTATACACAGTTTCACTAGCAGAGACCTTCCATTCCTCTTGGTATTAAGGGCTCAATTTTTCTATGTTATTGATGTGAAGCAGTGATACATGGTTACTTTTCTTCTGATTTTATATTTTTAAGAATAACTTTTATTCTTACCATTTAGGAATGTGTTTTTCTTCTGGGCATTTGCTCATATAAAATGCTACTCATTATTGCTGCAAGACATTGCCAACAAACTGTGTATATGAATTAGCATTGAAAGAGGTATTGGATTTAGTAGCACAGATGACTGGATTATATTCCTTCTAAACTAAGGGGAGTTTTGCAGAGATTTGAAAATAGATAACTTTCCCATCTGGTTCTTAAACTCTGTTGGGTATCCAGTTGCAAAGCTGGTTATTATTGCCATTCTCCCATCATGTGGAATGGTCTGACCTTCAGGTCTAAATACGGATTTAGTTACCACATGCATGACTGCTAATGCCCTGTTTCAGCAAACCTGTCACCTAACTGATTTTAAAAACATGGAAGGTTCAATTTGCCTGAGGCTGGGATTGCCGTGGCTCTCAGCTTCCTTCTGTGAGCCATCAGAAGCGATATTGTACAGGTTTGGTTAGGTATGAAGAAGACTTCTTGGTCCAGAAAAACAAAGGCTTAGAGGAGACAGGTTCAAAGACTACAAAATAATGAGGCCCATATATAGAGTGAATATGGACTTTCTCATATGATCCTAAATTGGTAGAGCTTTGAGCTTCCTCTTGAAGCTTGAAAGATAGTTCCCATAAAATGATAAATCTTATTTTAAATCATGAATACTGCTTTTATGAAAGCTGTCACTTCTAGAGCGGATACAGTCTAAAAGTGTGTTCAGAAAAGATGGCAGATCTAAAAATGAGGAGTATGTCTCTTCGGTTTGAAATCATTGTGAGAAACCTCGTCCCTTCCTCTAAACCTTGCCAAATGTTGAACATTTCTAACGTATATGTTGTGTTCCTGTAAGATTCTATGCAATTACATATCTGGGACTTTGCTGTGGGATTTTGCAATTTAAAGAGCAAAACAGTCTATGAATTTTGTCTGTGTGTACTATATATGCACAGATTATATCTGGAAGGCTGCTCAAGAAATGGGTTGTTTCTGGGGACTTGAGGGACTGGACATCAAGAGAGGGAAGGAGAAAGAGTGAACTATTTACATGCTATGTCTTTTGTGTCCCGAATGTATTTAGAAAATGAAAAATTCCAACTTAAAGGCACCATGTAAAACCGGATTAGATGTGATATTAGCCTGAGTTTCCTCGGGGATCAATGTTCTGTTAAAGCTCCACACCACTCCAGTCAGTGGGGCCTCGTGTGAAGAAGGAAATGCAGGGGGGCTCTCAGGGTGGAGGATTAACAGAGGGTTTGTATATATCGTGGTAACTTTCTTACAGTCTTGGTAACTCACTTTAGCAATCTGGAAAATAGGGATATTTATCAATTTTTGAAACAATTTGATCTTTTTAAAAGTATGCAATAGGAACTACTAAGTCTTTGCAATGATAACAGAAGTTCTGCTTGTTTTCAGTGCTACAGTCATATAAATCCAGTGCTTTGTAAAATTATTTGGTGGTTGTGCTACTAAAATTTGATATCCAGTGGTTTTTAAAGTGAAATGACTGATCCCAGATGGTGGTAGGTAGAGAGTTACAGGAATGTTCAGCCAGTCTGGTGTCCTGATGTGAAGGCCATCTGGCTTCTGCATCTATGACTGATTGCCAGGTTGAGTTGGCTAGTCTCACAGGTTGATGGTTTGCCTGCCTCCTGGCTGGCACAGAGACTGATACAGCTCCAATGGGGTGTTGATGCATTTGGGTTGATTGAGCTGCCATTCTACCTTGGTGGCATCTCCTCTTGTCAGACCCTGGCTAGGTTCTGAGGGGAAACCTGGGTTCTTGTGGCTTGAGAATATCGTTACGTATGGTCACCTGACCTCCACAGATTGAATAAAGGCAATGAGTTCTGGTAGGAGGATTGCACAGTAGTAGATATCTTGTCGGCAAGGCCCTTGCTTCACCTTCATTCACCTTCATGCTTTTTATGTTTCCCTTCTTTCTTGGGTTCTAAGTGCTCACTGTAATGATAGTCTCTTTCCAACACCCCCCATCTTAAATTTTGCTCTCAGGAAAGATTTGATGAGCTTACACTGAAAATTTAATGTCAGTAAGGCTTAACAAATGACCCCTCAATGGGCATTTACATTTAACAATAATTACTTCAGCTCAGAAGGGTCAATCTCTTCAGTGGGGTAAAGCCCTCACTGCCCTTCAAGTATTCCATACATGTGGCTCTTACACTTAAGGTGGCCCTGCACAAGTGTTGATAATTTATCCATGATCTGAAGGATTGGCTTGGTGAAGTTTGTTTGACCCATTAGAGTATTCTCTCTGAAGTTGCTCTCATTGTATTAACATGGGTTGGGGGAAGGTGGACTTGGGCATGGGTAGTATTGTTTGGTACTTGCCCTTTTTCTTGAAAGATCTCTGAATGATAATGTTCTATGGAAGCAGGGAGGTCTAATATGAAGTTGCTCTTTCAAGAGAAATGAAGTACAGCATTTAGATTAATAATTGAGTTAAATTATAATGTTAGCAGCTGCAAGGAACTGAACACAGACTCAGATAGCTTATACAATAAGTAAATTATTGTGTTGTGTTACAAAAGCCTAGAAGTTTGGCTCCTTGTTTGACTGATTCATCAAGTCCTCAGTGTTATCACGGACCTAGATTCCATCCATCTATATATAGAATTTATTTTCAGGTTGGATACAATCTGAAGACCGTTCACCTCCATGTGAGTTTCAGATGTTCAATTCAAAATGACAACATCCAGATGGAGAAGAGAGGTTGTGTCTTCCTGTATCCCTTTTTAGGGTGGAAGAAACTGTTTTTCAGAAGCCCACCAGCCCATTTCTCTCTGAATTTTATTGGCAAGGATTGGGTCACATGACCATTTCTAAACCAATGGCAGGAAAGGGATTTACATGCTTGGCTAGTCTTTTGGGAATGGAGAGAGATTGGCGGCTCAACCAGCACAACCATTGCAATGATCAGTGAAACAGTCTAGTTGGCAGTGCTTTCCTAGCCAAAAAGTGTGTTTGTTTAACCAATGGCTGGTTTTCTCACAACAGTGAACTAGCAAATGGAAGATGTTCTAAAATCCACAGTAATTAGCCTTGGTAGCAAAAGATCAAACCGAGTTCTGTGCCATTTCCAAAGCTCTAAGAGCATTACTTAGTTGTGTCCTAATTGCAGGAAGACTAAAAAGACAGGGATGGCCTCTCTGAAATGCGGGCAAAGGCTAGGAGGGAGGGAGTACTGCTGTGACTCAGCTCACCAGCTAGGAAATGTAGAATTAACTGTATTATCTGATCTCT